GGGTTTGAACTGCCAGCCTTCTGGTTAGCAGTCAAATGCCTTAGGTACTACACCATCAGAGCTCCCATAGAGTTGCTAGGAGTTGGAATCAACTGGATGGCAGTGGGTTTGGGTTTGGTTTAAATATTACAAAATTAATTCCCTCCTCTTCATATTTACTATCTGCTTTGGATCATCATCACTTCTAGCTTTTGTTACTTAAAACCCTCCTTCTTAAGGCCAACAGATCTTGCAAATGCAGAACACATCATGATCACCCCAAGCTTAAAATACTTCACTAGTTCCCCAAGCTTCATCACCTGAAGGTAAAGTCCAAACTCTTTGAAATATGCTTTACATATATGTCCCTCTAGGGCCTGACCCCTGCCTCTCTTCCCACTTTTATTTCATGACTTCCCACTTTATGCTTCAGCAACAACGGATACTTTATGGTTGTCACACATACCCCTACTCTTTCCCAATTCCTTCTACTTGGAAAGTCGGCCGGTCTAACTTAATAGAAACCAAGCTGGGAGGTGAAGAATCTAGGAAGACAATGCTCTACAGAATATATTCTCCAAGAAGGAAGAACATTTGAAAAGTTAAATTCAAATTTTCTAAATTAATAATTTAGAAGAAAATTTGAAATATGTAATAAGTCATAGATAAGCACTTGGCTGCTAACGGAAAAGTCAGCGTTTCAACCCACTAGCGGCTGAGCAGGAGAAAAGGCCTGGCGATCTGCTGCTATAAAGATTAAACCAAAGCAACCCACTGTCGTGGATTCAACTCGACTCATAGGGACCCTATAGGACATAGTAGAACTGTCCCAGAGGGTTTCCGAAGCTGTAATCACTACAGGAGCAGATTACCGTCTTCTCTCATGCAGAGCGGCTGATGGTTGCGAAGTGCCAACCTTTCGGTTAGCAGTCTAGCCCTTTAATCGCTGCGCCCCCTTGGAAATTCTGAGGGGGTAGTTACACTTTAAGGTGCTGTAAGCTATGATCGACTGCCTCATCTTTTTCCCGAGAGGCTGGTGGGTTCGAACCTGCAACATTTTGGTTAGTAGCTGAATACGTTAACCAGTTGTTGTTGTCATGTGCCAACGAGTCGGACCGACTCACAGCGACCCCTCCTTAGGTTTCCGAGGCAATATCACTACAGAAGTAGATTGACCAACCTTCCTTTCGAGGAGTGGCTGGTGGGTTTGAACCGCCAGCCTTCTGGATAGCAGTCAAGTGCCTTAGGCACTACGCTACCAGAGCTCCTTCGTTAACCAGTGTTGTTGTTGTTGTTGTTTGTCATTGAGTTGGCCCCGACTCATAGCGACCCCTCCTTGGGTTTCCGAGGCAGTATCACTACGGAAGTAGGAATGCCCAACCTTCCTTCCGAGGAGTGGCTGGTGGGTTTGAACCACTACGCTCCCAATAATTTGTAGAACAAAGGACTAAATAAATGACAGTGACTTCTTAGGGTTTAGCTCTTGTGGTGTCCCAGTTAAGGCATTCTGCTGCTAATCAAAAGGTCCGTGATACTAACCCACCACCCCCTTCGTGGGAGAAAGGTGAGGCAATCTGCTTCGGTAAAGATTACAGCCTTGGAAACCTTTTGGCGCAGTTCTACTCTGCCCTATATGGTTCCTATTATTTGGAATCTACTCTACCGCAGTGCCTTTTCTCAGGGTTTACTTTCCCTTTCACTAGAGAGGTTCTCCCTGACCACACCCCTACCTCGCTCAGGTCCCGCCCCTTCCGCAGTGAAGCTCCTCCTGAACTCTCGCCACAGCCAGTTTAGGCACCGCCCCTTTTCTCTAGACTCACCGAAGACTATGGGAGTTTGGCGCCAACCGTGTTTTTTTTTCCCTCCCAAAGGCGGGAACTAGTTATGTGCGCCGGGACGCGCCTTGCGTCCGATCTGATTGGCCATGGTTTCTCAGTCCCGCCTCCGCGCCCTGATGGTGCTCTGGCATTGGTGGAAATGCCAGGGAGCCCACAGTGTCCAGAAAGGAGCCCGGGCTATCGTGGGCCGGACAGGACGGGTAAGTTGTTGTGAGGGTCTTGTCCGAGCAGGGCTGCTGGTTGAGAGGCTGCATGGCACGGTAGTGCCCGCTGGGGGCCCGGTGGCCCCGGGAGAGCCAGAAAGTCGGAAGGTGACCACCTGAGGCAGCAGAGCCAGTGGGGGAAGGGCTGTGCCTGATAACACAGGATCTCAGGTGGTCGCATTCCCGCCGCCCACGGGTGCAGCTTCTGGGCTATCCCTCCTTGTTCTTCCGTGGTCTCCCAAGAGGGTCTGTGCCCTGGTTGGGAGCCACGTCACGCAGGATTCGCCCTCTCTCCCTGCACCCGTAAACACCAATATTGCCTTGGGAGTAATCTTAAAAGCTTTCGGAGGGGAGTCCCTGGAGGAATGGGTTTTTCTGAGCGTCTGGTGGTCATTGATGTTGGTTGCTTCAGAGACTGTTATTCCCAGAAAAGTCATTTTTTGGTTATCTTCAGCGCCTAGAACCTTGCTCGACTTACATTAGGCCTCTACCTCGGATATTAATGTAGAATTCACAGGAACTAAAGATTTGTGCTTTAGGGGTCAAGTTGATTTTGGCTGTTTGCTTTTTCCCTAGTCTTTCCCATTCTCCACAGCTTCAACTCCAAACCTTTCGCCCCTCAAGACCCCTCCCCCATCTCACTCAGCGCCTCTTTGGTTGGAGGAAAGGTTTCAGAGCAAGAATTTTCTCATCTTTCTTCCCCCAACTTACCTTCGCCCATCGTTTCCTGCCGTTTTGCAGTAAGAGTTGGTCCCCTTTCAAAGTAAAACAAAAAATTTGTCTAACTAATATTCTTGATTTTGGTCGTTGGTTTTGGAGCAGACCTGGGATCTCATCTTAGCTCTCTGATTTAGAAGCTGTTTGACCTTGGTCAGATTTCTTAATCTGTGTCTTACCTCGTTTGTAAAATGAGGACTAGTATATAACTCATAGAACTTTCGGGAGGGTTTAAAGTTGTTACTCTCTTTAGAATTTTAGGTCAGTGCCTAGCTCGTAGTGTGTACTATATTGTAGCTTTTGGTATTATGTTCCCCATACAACTTTCCCTATCTTGCTGTATTAGCCTTTTCTGTGAGCCTAAAAATACAGGCTTTTCTTCTCCACTGGCTCTTTTCCTATAAATGCTTGTTTCTTTTCCTCAATTTTAAAAGAGAAAACTTCTTTTAGGCTGCCTTTTAAGACATTGCCCTATCACAAAAGGCTGAGTGATCCTTCCCTCATCTGCTTCAACTTTGCATCAGGATTCATTGAAATCAAAAGATTGAATGACCTTGGCATACTTTTATTGTCATGGGTCTCAACTTTTTAAACTCTTCCTTTACCCTTTGCACAGGTGCAACACTTCTGTCAGTAGCAACTCTCATTACATACCGAGACTCTCAGTTGGTGGAAGGTGAGAGCATGTGTGAAAAAGTCTTCTGTCTTCCGAGGAATTCTGATGCCAACTCCTCACCCCTTCCCTCCCTTTTAGGAGAATCACTGACATTGTCATTTCAAGAGTGTAATTTCAACTATCACCAAGATGCTGATGAATCCCAAAGCATAATAGCTCCCAGTTGTCTTCTGTGCTGCATACTCCGGTTTCCATCTGTCTTTTTAGACATCTTTACTGAATGTCCCACAGATAAATCAACATGTTGACTTTGGCTCTCCATCTCAGTTAAAAGTGTGACCATGTACCTTGTTTTCGAAGCTAAGAACTTCAGATTCTTTAGCAAGTTGGGCATTTCATTAATTCAACAGGTTTTTTTG